GAAATGCATTCATCCAAGAAAACCCCGACCTCCGTTTATTGAGCTGAGTCCCCTGCATGGGGCACCCATCCTCTGGTGTAGCGGAAATTGTTAGAGCCCATTCTGCAGAGGAGGAAAACTAAGGCACTAAGAAACAAAGGCCACTTGTCCAAAGTGACACAGTTATTTAGTGGCAGTGCCAGGGACCCTACCCGAGCCTCTCTGAGTCTGAAACCTGATTATGTCCACCAACCCCACGTTCCTCTCAAAGGCCAGCAGTTCACTAAGCACCTACTGGGAGTGGGTCACCAATCCTCACCCCTGCCCCCAACCACACCACTCCGCCCATCACAGGACTGTGCAGCTCACCCAGGACCATCAAGGCTGCTGTCAGGGCCATCTGGCGGGGTGGGCAGGAGCTCTGCCGGCAGGTCCCAGCCCTGGGCTGCCTGAGCCGAAGGTCACGCACTCACCTTCAGGCCACCTCCTGGGGGACTCCTCAGAGAGGAAAGAGTTCGGGATTCCTCCCAGGGGCTTTCCAACTGGTGGAACCATGGAGGCACCCTGCCCAGCCCCACCACGGCGTCCTCATTCTTCTCTTATCTCTCCTGCCTGCCGCAGAGACTGAAGGCCATCGGCGGTGAGCCAGCGGCGGGCAGCGGGTGAAAGCAAACACCAAGATAAACCCCACTGCAGACAGGTATCTTGGGGGCCGCAGGCCTCAGCAGCCATAACTGGCCTTGTCTGGGTTTCTGAGCGATCATTAAGGCGCGGCCGGAGCCCTCAGATGCCTCCTTTGGAATTCCAACCTACCCGTGTGGAGAGATGGGAGGCCCGACAGAGGAGAGGAGGCAGCAGCCTGAACTCCGGACAGAACCGGGACAGAGGGACAGAACCGGCACAGGCAGGGGGAGGCGAGAGGCAGTCAGCACACATTTAGTGACGGCCTGGGAGCTCACTCGTGCGTGTGCGTGCGCGCACACACACACATGCACACACACGGTGACATGAGAGGATTGCTGGATTGGGAGTTTGGGATTCGCAGATGCAAATCCCTATATACAGGATGGATGAACAAGAAGCTCCTACTGCAGAGCACAGGGAACTATACTCAATATGCTATGATAAACCATAATAGAAAAGAACGTGAAAAAGAATGTGTATATATATATAACTGAACATATAATTGAATCACTTTGCTGTACAGCAGAAATTAACACAACATTGTACATCAACTATACTTCAATAAAAATAGAGAGGATTGCTGGAGTACGGATGAAGAAAATGCCACAGGACAGAGAATTAGAGTGCAGGGGGGGGCTGGCTTTGTCCTCGGCAACCTCCACTTCTGTCGCTTTCTTTCTGGCTGGTGTCTAACACTACCACTGTTTCCTGGGACACGGCAGGGCACAGGCAATTTCCTTTCTGCCTTTTCCACGCTCACCAAGGGGTCCACGGGGCATTCCGATGGGTTCTCTGATGCCTGACTTGAGCACACCGGCCTCTGGAGGGACAGGGTAATATCACTAAGTGTTCGGTGAGGCCGTCCCAGGATGGGGCTCACCCAGCAGTGATTTTCATAGGACCCTGATGAGGCGGCAAAGCAACAGGAACATTAGGAATTATTGGCTGCGTTTTAAGGCTCAAGGAGGAGTATTTGAGAAGCCTGACTGTGGCCTATAAAAGTCAGCGGTGGACGCTGCCGTCAGTTCCAATTCTGTGTCAGCGGGACAAGTATTTCAGAATCAGCGCCCCCCCCCCCCGCTTTTGACCAGTCACACACACAAATGCCTCTCTGGAGAGGGGGCTCTCACACCTCCCAGCAATGTCCACGCTCCTCCAGAAAACCCAGGAAGAGGAAAGGAGCAGAATCGCCCACCCGAATGCCCCCCGGGCATGTGCTTCCGCGGGATCACATCCCTTGCCCAGCTCCGAGTGAATGATGTGTGGACACGGCCGATCTCACTGACAAGTCATAATGATCTCCGATACTTTCAGAATTTTGGCATCAACCAGAGAACGGGCCGCAGGATCTGAGAGCCTAAGAGAGATGCCCCGACTCTAACCCTACAGGGTTCCACTCGGTTCCTTCACTTCTGCTCCTCCTTTCCTGCTGCCTTTGCTCAGAAAGAGAAAAGATCACATCCTCAGATACAAGGAACAACCCTGACCAACAACACCCAGGCTTTCCCCCATCCTGCCAGACCTTAGACCAAGAAACACAGAGCCAGTGTGTCTGGGTCAAGCCAAGAAGCACTGGAGGAAAGGTCTCCAGATCGAATCCCGATCCAGCACGAATCCTGGTGGCACCCAGGGTCCACGGCTCTGCCTTCTAGGCCCCTCTCTGATGAGCTTCCTATGGAGAGCCTGCTCTCTCACAGGTGCCTGTGACTTTCAGACGGTGTTTGGGTTATTTTCTCTGCTCTGTTTCTTCCAGTTTGATGTACCCACTCAGGGAAGGAAGTGGCCGGATCACATCAGAATTGTTGGGTGTCTAGTACACTGTGGACCAAAGGACAGTTGGAAATCATTTCAAAGCCTTTTCATATTCAGTGCCTCCTTTGTGCCTCACACTGCCTGGGGACTGACTATCACTGTCCCCATTTTCTAGATGCAGAAAAAAATTCAGAGAGATTAAGCAACTAACCCAAGGTCACATAGATACAGAGTGGCAGTGCTGAGGGGGTCAAGGTTGGGAAGGCGGCAGCATGCTGAAACACTGAGGTCCATCTCCCAGGCTTTGCTCATAGGAAAGGGCTATGGGCGTCTTCTCCCCATCCAAGGGGCCTTTCTCTGCTGCTCCAATTCAGCAGGCGTTTATCAGGGGCCAGGAGATCCCGAGAGACCCTGGAAGATGCTGTGGTTTTTTCATAGTAGCATGGCAGCTATTTGCTCACTGAGCATTTACAAAGTGCCAGGAGCTGTGCCAGGCATGCTGTGTAAACTATCTCACAGGATCCCCACCATCACCCTGAGCTTTAAGATCACTCTGCTAGGAGGAGGCGAGGCAGAGCAGGGATCCAAATAATATCTTTATCTGAAGGACACAAGCAACTATGGGGAAGAAACGGCAGTGGTTGCTTCATCGGCCATTTGCATAACCAACAACATTGACTGAGTGGCTTCCAGGGCAGAACCTGGACTATATTAGTGGCACCCTGAGGACAAGCGGAGAGTTGGGTGGCAGGTCTTCCCTGGTGCCCGTGATGGGAGGAAGTGGTGCACACGTACTGGTTCAGCTGGTGTATTCCCTGAGCTCCTGCTATGCACCAGGCGAGTGTCAAGGTTGCAAGCCCCTCCTAGGGCTTGCAGTCTGGATGGGGGGACAGACAATAAACAAGGTGACAAGTAAACTGATAGGGCAACACCGTCACGTATTGATAAGTGCTACGAAGAAAAAATAGGACGGCACCACGGCCTTGGAAACGGTTTGACGATTTCTTAAAAATTTAAGTATACACGTGCCGTGTGGTCCAGCCATTCCATTCCTAGATATTCACCCAAGTAGGTGTTCAATAACTATTCCCTTAATGACTGAATGAATAAATGAATGAATCTATTCTGCATGTCAGTTTTTTGTTTTGTTTTCAATTATGGTAAAAAAAAGTACATAACATAAAATTTACCATCCCAACCATTTTAAAGTGTACACTTCAGTAATGTCAAGTACATTCACATTGTTGTGTGATGTCATTTTCTTTGTTGAAGGTATGAAGATAAAACTCGGCTGAGACAGACAGGATTGGTGAGGGACATGAAAAATTTAAACTTGACTTCCAGAAGTATACTCCCTAAAAATATGACCCCAAAGCCTTGTGGGATGTGCCTTGTGGGGGTCCCCTTGTCTTTCCACAGTCAGGATAGATCATGGCAGGAACTCTGGCTTTAAGAACAGTTTCACTTTCCTTTTTCCCTGTGGGCTCCCTCCCCACCCCTGCTGGGTCTGCTCGCACTCTGCCCCACCCCCATCCCAGAGTGCCTCTGGCCCCAGCTGGTCGGGGTGAATGCAGTGTCACTGTGTGAGCTGCAGGGACATTCCACAGGCCCAGCCTTGTGCTTCATCTGGCTCCAATCTGTCTTCCCCTCCTTGTCTTGCTTCATCCTTTGCATCTCAGCCTGGGCTGTATTTTCCTGTGACGTGGGCTGTGGAGCTGAGTGGCTGAACGTCACAGCCGTGGAACCAGACCTCCTTGGTCCCCAGCCCAGTTTCATACCAACTAGTGATGTGCCTTTGGGCAAGTGTCTTAACTTCTCTTAGCCTCGGTCATCTTACTGTAAATCAGGAGGAGAATGGCACCTACACCACAGCAGTTGTTGTGAACATTTACTATGAGCACTTTTCACACTGTCTGCCACAAAATAGTACTTAATAAATGTCAGCGCTAATCCCAGGAGTTGTTTTGCATTTTCTCCTTAGGAGGTGATCATGGTTTTATTACACACCTGCAGGTCTGGATTAAACATCTCTAGGATCTGGGGTGGATGGGGAACATCTCTTAGAAGGAAATAATATGATAATAATGTGATAATACCCATCAGTTATTGAGGAATTCCTCTTTTCTAGGTACTATGCCGGTAGCAATAATTAATGATAATTAACTAATAAGGAACAACAAAATAGAAGCAAATCCTGATTGAGTGCATACTGTCTGCCAGGCAATGCTCTAAACATTTTTTGTGTATTAGCAAATCCTAACAACCCGTTGAGGAAGATACTATTATTATCCTCATTTTACAGATCAGAAAACGGAAGCATAGAGAGGCAAAGTGACTTACTCAAGTTGAACCAGTAAGTGGACAAGGATAGGACTCAAACTCTTTCTACTCTGGTCCAGCTCGTCCCCTGGGCTCTGAATCCCGAACAATCCTCCCCAGTGTCTGGCCTCTAAAGCTTACCAGCCCTCGGTTACTCTGGCCGATGTTGTGCTGTTCTGCCCCCCGGCTGGATGACTGTGTCTCCAAAAGGGGCATTAAATTAGGCCAGCGGACCCTGCAGCCCTGCAAAAGTTCCCACACTCACCAGAAAAGTCCTTCTTTGTATCTGGAGAGAGTATGTGTCTTGATATGATCTCAGGACCCACCCAGGCAGTTTTTCAAGTTTCCACGTGGTCTCTCCCCTCCTGGAAATAAGAATAAACACTCAGACAGACTCAGGCGGACCCTCTAAATGAAAGCTGGAGTTATCCAAATGAAAGCGTTCTCTGGTTATGGGTGGAGGATGGGCTGGGGAGGAGGATGGAGGGACTCTTTGGAGGGCAACGATCTTTAAGAGAGATGCCAGGTGGGAGAGCCCTTTCTTCCCTCCATCCCTTCCATTCATAGCGGGGGGGGGGGGGGGGGGCAGACAGTGTCTTGATAGAATCTTCTCGAGTCCTCTTCCTTCTGGAGACAAGTGTGACTATAGGTTTTCTGCTGGTCTTCCAGGTGGATTTTTCTGAAGCTTTAAGTATGTTAACTCAAGAAGGCTCCAACCATAGGCCCCTTGTGTACTGATAATAACAATATTTTACGTATATTGCCCACTTACTAAGTGCCAGGCATTTGTTCTGGGCACGTTATGTTCACAAAGACTCTATCTTTTTTTTTTTTTTAATATTTATTGAGTTAGTTATTATTTTGTTTGCACCGGGTCTTAGTTGTGGCACGTGGGATCTTTTTTTAGTTGCGGCATGAGTACTTCTTAGTTGCGGCATGCCTGCGGGATCTGGTTCCCTGACATGGGATCAAACCCCAGCCCCCTGCACTGGGAGCACGGGGTCTTACCCACTGGACCACCAGGGAAGTCCGGACAAAGACTGTATCTTTAACCAAACTGTAGTTAGGCTCCTCTGAGCCCTCTTCTTGACTAGGCCTCAACCCAGCCTTCTGCATCCTGCACAGCCCAGTTTTAGCAAGAATCCTGCTAAGTCAGTTTAGCAAGAATCCCTCCGACCCTTGATATCTGATCACCCTCCATATCTGATCAAGTTCCCCATTCCCCACTTTGAGGTCTGTCTTTGGCCTACCTTTAGCAAGAATCCTGTTAGGTCAGGTTAGCAAGAATCACCCTATCCTTGATGTTTCTTCGTAGTAATACTTTTGCCATCCACTGACCCTTCACTCTGCTGCTTGCCTATAAACCCCCACTTATCCTTGGCGTTCTCCGAGTTGGGCTTGATCTCTCCCTTCCCTATTGTGGAACCCCTGCCCCAGTAGTCTTGAATAAGTTTTCCTTACCATTTTAGCAAGTGTCAGAATCATTTTTTCTTCAACATGAATTAGTTCATTTATCCTCACAAGGATCCTCTGAGGTCCGCAACTGTCTCCACTTTCACCGGAGAAGGAGGGAGGAGAGAGGGTGCCCTCTGGGATGAGACACAGCTGTTGCCGCATCTGCGGTTTGTACCTGGACGTTCTCCCAAGTTCTCCCATCAGCCCACTTGCAGGAACTTCAACTCGGCGAGATATTGTGCCCTTTGCGACGCAAATCTGGATGTTCTCCATTGGTGCCGGCAACTACCTGGGCAGTTGCGGGACTAAGGCGCTAGCAGCCGGACGCCGTCGCCTAGCAACCGGGCAACAGTCACGTGACCCAACCCACGTGCCCATCCCCCCCGGGGGGTTGGAGCCGGGGCCGCGGGCGGGGCGGAGCCGGGCAAGTTTGTTTCCCGAGTTCGTAGACCAGGAGCCCCCGCGGTTGTCGCGCAGGTTCCCTCCAGCTTGGTCGAGATGGAGCTGCCCGCCGTGAACCTGAAGGTGGCAATAGGCGGGGCGGGGCGGGGGTGGCCCAGCCGCTGGGGTTGGCGGGCTGGCGGGCTGGCGGGCGGGCGCGGGGCGGGTCTCCCCGAGCGTGCTGGGCGTTTGCGCTTTTAAAGTAGGAATTTAGAGGTGAGAGGACCGAGCGTTTGGGGAAAGAGGGGTGGTAGGGAGAAAGAGAACGTACAGAGTCCAGCTGAGAAGGAGGTGGGTGGATAGACCGTAGCAAGGAGAGGGATACAGAAGGCCAGCAGGAAAGACCGAGAGGAAACTGGAGGAGGGAAGGGAGGGAAGAGGCCCCCTCTTCCCGGAGTCAGACCGGCCCAGCTGGGAGCGCCGGGCCCCTGAGGCTCGCTTTGGCCTGCGCGCCCAGAATTCCCCTGGGGAAAGAGGAAGGCGCGGGGGGGGGGCCCACCGAGAGCCCGAGGGGGACTTAGAGGCGGCCCACCTCCCCTTCACCGAGAGAGGGGCTAAACCTTTCACCTGCACCCCCGACACCAACCTGGTAGCCTCCTTTGTTGGCAGACGAAGCTGTGATCCCGGACGAGTGGTTTTTCAAAGTTTATAAATTCAACGTCTTTATTTCGTAAGCAGCACAGACACCAATAGAAGTTACTTAAAAGCAGAGAACGCCAACTTTGCGCATTTAGGGAAACACTGGAGCTTCCTGGGGTGTCTTCATTTCCTGAGCCGTGTTCTCAGCTGTCAGGATGCCAGCGGCTGTTCTTTTTTTTCCTCCCCGCCCCACCAGCCCAGTGCTTCTTGGCTCTGTTTGCCACTGAGAGGCTGAAGCCTTTAACTTTGGTCAGGAACGTATGAACCTTGGACCAAACCTGCCATTTTGGGTCTCAGTGCAGTTTCCTTCGAGGCTGTAGTATCCAGGAATGCCCTTTTACTCACGCATGTCAAAGAATTTAGCACCCGTGGTGTCTGGTACTGAAGGAATCTAAGAGATAGATGACTACAGAACAATACATTATCCATATGTGGATTATTAGACAGCGTCTGTGCTGTGACTTCATATGGGAAGACGTCCCTTGATACTTTCCTTAATACTTGCTTCAGTAAACCTCCCCGAAGCTTTCAGTCAACGGCTAGGCGGAGAGATGGCTGGAACAAGGGAATGGACTTGGATTGAAGGTTTAGCTGGGAAGAAATTTACATGAGGGCAACTAAGGTTTGTTGGTGTCGATACTCTGTTCCAGCCTGTGTGGGGTTAATGTTGACCGCCTTTTCTCTAATTAGAGATTTGCCTAAAATAATTGCTAAGAGGGAATGAAATGAGGGACAGAGCCACAGGAATTGAGAGGGGAGAGAGCCCGCATTTGGGGGGCATCTGTGGGGTGCCAGGTTATTTATTTAATCACATCAACCTTCTGAGATTTTGACAGATGAGCAAACTTCAGCTCAGACCAGGTAAGTAACTTGCCAAGGTCCCACAGAGATTTAGTGGCAGAGTCAGGGTTTGAATCCATCAGGGTCAGACTTCAAAGCTGTGTCCTTTCCTGGCCACCAATTAGTTAGGACTGACTTCTGCCTTGACATTTTCTGTCCACGGGGAGGGCTTAGTCTGTTTGGGGCTTTTTTTGGAGCAACTTCATGGGTGGGACAGGCCACACACGACCCCAGGTGTGAGCTGTGCTGGCTTTGGGTGCCCGGAATGAAATGTCTGGTCCTTCCCTTGACTTGGGAAATAAAACATCATATCTCAGAGGGTCTTAACTGATACCAATCAGAGACAACTAAGTGCTGGGAGGGCCTGAGCAGCTAGGGTTGCTAGGTAACATACAGGACATCCAGTTGAATTTGAATTTCATATCAACAATAAATAATTTTTTAGTATAAGTATATCCCAGGCAATGTTTGGGACATTCTAGCAAATTATTCATTATCTGAAATTGAAAACTAACCGGGTGCTCTGTGTTTTTGCTGTTAAACCTGGCCACCCTGTGGAGAGAGCTGTTGGTGCTTGTTCACCGCCGTCTGAGTGGGGTGTTCTGAGACCAGAGCCCCTTGGGAGCTGGGGCAATGCACCCCTGTGGCCCTGCACTACCCCCTCCCTTATTTCACACATTCCTTGGGCATTGGCTCAATGCCTGCTTGTGCCCAGCCCAGCTGGAGTGGGCAGTGGTGCCAGGTGAGCAGAAGCAAGTGCCCCAGGCCCTCTGGGCAGTCGCTAACCCAGCCCCACCCGTGAGGCAAGTCCTGAGCTGGAGGAATGTCACTGTGACAAGTTTCGAAGGCACTAGGCTTGGGTTCGTGAGGTCTTGGGAGAAAGGCCCTTTGGAGGAGGGTGCAGGGGGCAGTGTAGCATGAGGGTTAAGAACTCTGGAAGCTGACCGTATAGTAGTAACGAGGATGGCCACGTCTGGGGGGCTGACTACCTGGCAGGCATTGCACTGGATGTTTCGCACCTCCCTCCACCTCTCTGTAGCCACACAACACCCCTGTGAAACATTATAGTCCCCCTTTATAGAAGAGCAAGCAGCAGTTCTGAGAGCTCAGGTGACCGGCCCAAGGTCACACAGCTCTAAGTCACAGAGCTGGGGTCCAGTCCACATACTTGGCTGCAATACCCACACCATTAACCACGGCCCACCTCTGCCTCTGCTCTCCAGCAGCCCTGAGTGCTGTCCCCTAGCCTCAGCCCTTGGGGGTCCTCGGGGATCTTGCTGCCTCATGCAACAGGCCACCGAGTGTTTGCACAGGACCAGGAAAATATATTCTGGGTGTTTTTGTTTTTGTTTGTTTATGGTTTTTTTTGGTCGTGCCGTGCGGTTTGTGGGATCTTAGTTCCCTTACCAGGGATTGAACCCGCGCCCTCGGCAGTGAAAGTGCAGAGTCCTAACCACTGGACCGCCAGGGAATTCCCTCCATACAGATTAATATAGAGAATATATTTTTCCTGGGAATTCCCTGGCAGTCCAGTGGTTAGGACCCAGTGCTTTCACTGCCCAGGGCACAGGTTCAATCCTGCAAGCTGAAAAAATACAAAACTGTACGGTGACCTCAGGTCTGTCTACCACCCGTCTGGGAAGTCCCACCCCCACCCCCGTGGGCCCTCTAGTGGCAAACGAAGGGTCTAAGTCCTGGTCCGCAGGACCCTGCGGTTTCCCCCTTAGCCTTCTCTTCTCAAGGTCAAACCTCCTCATTTCCATCCACCCTTCCCTTGCTCTTCCAGCACAGTGGATAGAGCACAGGCTTTGGGGCCAGAGAGATTTCTGTCCAAAGCCAGACTCTGCTGCTTACTAGCTGTGTGACCTGGAGCAGATTTCTAAACCTCTCTGAGTATCAGTTTCCTCACCATAAAAAGAGCATAAAATTAGACCCTACCTTCTAGGGTGATAAGGGGAGGATCTAGTGGTCCTGGAGGTGGTGTAGCATCACTTTTTTTTTTTTTTTTTTGCGTTACGCGGGCCTCTCACTGTTGCGGCCTCTCCCGTTGCGGAGCACAGGCTCCGGACGCGCAGGCTCAGCGGCCATGGCTCACGGGCCCAGCCGCTCCACGGCATGTGGGATCTTCCCGGACCAGGGCACGAACCCGTGTCCCCTGCATCGGCAGGTGGACTCTCAACCACTGCGCCACCAGGGAAGCCCCTTCATCACATTTTTATTAGCAGGAAAACTCAGACCAGATAGACCTGAGATTAGCATCTGGGCTCTCTTGTTTATAAGCATTACCGTTTGGGCCAATTTACTTAATCTCTCACAGCTTCAGTTTCTTCATAAGTAAAACAGGATTAAAACTCTACGCCAGACGGTTATAAGGATGACATGGGCCGAGTGTTCAGGGTAGTGTAGACACGTGACAGGCAGATCTTCCTCAGTAGCAGGGATTGATGTGGTTGACACTGTTTCTGGATGTCTGTTCCATAACAGTACTTACGGTTAGTAAGTAGGTACATCCAGTGACCGTCAGATGCCTGTCTCTGCGGTGGAAAGGTCGGGACAGCCCCCCTGGGCCGAGTCTATAGGAAGAGTCCAGGAGCTCAAGTCTGTTTCCTCTTGCCCAGTCAGAACGGTCAGGCTGCCCAGGCACATTCTCAGGCCCCTCCCTCCCTCATTCTCTATGGCAGTACCTGGGTATCCCCAGTATCCCCTTGGTTACCAGAAACCTCCCCCAGAGTCAGCAGACAGTTCTTTTGTGCTGAGATGAGGGCTGTCAGGAAGGGCAGAGCCAGCTTGGCTGGGTTTCTTTTTCTTTTCTTTATTTTTATTGGCATATAGTTGATTTACAGTGTTGCGTTAGTTTCAGGTGTACAGCAAAGTGGATCAGTTATACATACACATATAGCCACCCTTTTTTAGAATCTTGGCTGGGTTTCTTGTTGGAGTTTTCCTGCACATTAGACCCCTCTGGGCCTGGGTGGGTGCGCCCGCCCATTACAAAGGTGGGAAAACTGAGGCAGAGGAGGCTTCGTCTTTGTGGGTTTCTTTTCCCAGGGCTGAAGAGAAGTGATCCACTAATGCTATGTTTCCTAAATATTTAGAAGACAAAAGTGATGTCGCACCGAGGGGATGTGTGTCTGCTAAAGGTCTGCAGGATTTCCAGATTATACTCTGTTCTGCCCAAAAGAGAGGGCCTAGTTTTGGACCTTAGCAGGTGCTCACTCCATAGTACAAGCTTTTCTGGCTCCAGGAAAAACTTTATCCCACAGGTTAAACAGAATGGTTTCCCCACAGGCTTCCCTGGGTCTCAGCCTTTCCTCTTACCACGGTAAAGCTGGGCTCTGCAGGCCAAGAGCACCCCTTTATTAAAGACCTGCAGTGTGCACAGTCTAGAGGTGGGAACCAGAGCCCTTGGAAATGAAGGCCGTTTCTGAAATAGAAGTCAAGGGAGGGCTGGATTTGGTGTTGATTTTCCGGAGTGGCGACGTGAGCTGCCTCCCCTGTGGCTCCTTCCTTGGTGTCTTGTCTTAGTTAAAAACCCGACACCAGGACCACCGTGGCTGGCCGCGTGTCATGGCCTCTGACAGGTCCCTTCCCCTCTGCGGGCAGGGTTTCCTATTAGACAGAGGGGGACAGTGTTTTGCTCTTAAGATAAAGATCAGGATTTCGCCCCACACCCTCCAGGCCCAGCCCTGCCCCACCCCCAGCTTCCTGTCCCTCCTCTCCACTCTCCTCTTCCACTCCAGCCACACTGGCTTCTTTTCCGTTTCCAGAATGTTCCATGCTCCCTTCTGCCACAGAGCCTTTGCAGGTGCTGTCCCTTCTGCTTGAAATGCTCTTCTTTCCCCTCTGCCCCTGGTTAACCCCTGCTCACCCCCTTCGTCCCTCAGAGAAGCCTCCTAAGCGCCTCTCCCTTGACGCAGGGTGAGGTTCCTTCTCCTTTGCTGTAACTTCCTTCACAGCAGGCTGTCTCATTGGAAATCCACACTCCTAAGGTGATGGCCTAGTTCACAGTTTCCCGCCCACCCTAGGTGTCAGGTCTGGGAGGGCAGCCCAGTGTTGTATCTGCCTCGCTCGCCTTTGAATCCCCAGGGTGGAGGCCAAGCAGGTGCCAGCGATGCCGGCTTAAACTGTACGTGTTTCAGAAACTTAGCGCTGTGTGATCCCTCCCCTTCAGCCCCTGGGAAGAGAAACCCTCAGAAGATTAGGCCTCCTCTGCCTCAGTTTCCCCGTCTTTGTAACGGGAGGGCACATCTGCCCAGGCCCTGGGTCGGACAACACCTGGCTAAGTCAGGTTTGAAACGTGGCTCTGCTGTGTGACCTGGGGCAAGTTACTTACCTCTGAGCCTCAGTTTTCTCAACTGTAAAATGGGGAAAATTGTACCTCAGAGGATTGTAAGGATGAAATGCGTTCCTATGCACAAAAATCTCAGAATGCTGCCTGACGCGTGGGAGGCACTCGGTCATAAAAGAGGGAAGGTGATGGCAAAGATTCCTTCCAGAGCTAGCCTGCTGTCATGTAGACTCAACTTTTTCGGAGTCTCAAGACCTGTGTAAGGC